GCCCAAGCGGCAGACACTCGTGCCCATGTATGAAGCTGTATTTGTGTCAGTGGCAACCTGCTGCTTGCACAAATGGAGCTTTACTCATGAGCGTGAGTGCCAGCCATTCGTGCAATTGGAGTTACATGTACTCACCCACCACTTGCATGGCCCAGTTCTGAACAGGCTGCGGCCCAGTATCAGGCTGCGGCCTGGGGACTGGGGATTGGGGAATGTGTTGTAAAGTTCACATGAGATCACTAAGGAAAAGTAAGCATGAGTTAGGGCTTTCACATCCTGAAATGGTATCGTTGACACAGTATGGTTTGTGGCAAATGCTAAGGGTCCTAGAGCAGGGGTGTGAAAACTCAAGGCGCGGGGGACGGATCCAGCTGGTGGGGTGCTTAGATCTGACCTGAGGAGCCACCCTGGAAACAGCGAAGGACCATCCCATAGTGCCTCTACCAGTGAAAATGAAGTTTGGGAGGGCTGGCAGAAGGTTGCAGGAGGTCGTCGTAGCCTAATGAAGCTTGGGAGGCCATTTTCACTGGCAGAGTGCTCAGGCCTCCACAGGCGCCCCCAACATGAGTGACATCAAGCTGGCTACGCCCACCCCAGCCCCCCAAGGTCAAACACAACCCTGATGCAGCCCTCAATGAAACCGAGTTTGACACCCCTGCCCTAAAGGATCCTCAGATTGTGCATCAGTTTTGTCTGAGGGAATGTACCTTTGTCTGGGGTTAAAGGTGAAGAGTCTCCATAGCCAAGGGATCCCAAAACCAACAGCCCTCTCCTCTGGATATCGGAAAAGAATATTGATAACATCACTGGCTCAGCCTAAGATGGAGATTCATAACTAAGCATCACGAGAGTATTCACGATACCTGATCTGATATTGAAATATGAGCTCACTCAGCAGTTTCATGTAAATGTTAAATAAGAGCAGAGCAAGAATAGAACTCTGGGCTAAATCTCTCCCATCAATGAGAACTGATCCTGGGGAAGGAAGAAAAGCATTTGCAACACCATGCAACTTAAACCTTGCAGCCAGTCCAGAAGGATACCATGCTTGGAGGTATTAACAGCCACCAGGAGACATGAGGCCACGCTAGATGTGCTATACCTCCATTCTAGTCCTTCCAGTGGCAATCTACAGGTGCAGTCAATGTTGCTTCTTTACTTACTATATCACCTAAAATGTTTTTCAGCTTAATATATTTTTAAAGAAGTTTAGCTACCAGTAGTTCCCGTCTTAAAACCATTCATTGGGCAACCATTTGAAGTTACAGTGGCACTGAAAAAAGTGACTTATATGACGGTTCCTCACACTTATCACCAGTGCGTTCACATGATCAAAATCTGCTTGCTTGGCAGACATTATATACATTGACACTGTGTCAGTTGCAGGGTCCCAGCAGGGTCATAGGATCACCATTTGTGACCTTCCCAGCCAGCTTCCAGCAAGCAAAGTGAATAGCAATGGCTGGATTCATTTTACGACCGCAAGATTCACTAAATAGCTACATTGATTTACTTAACAACCGTGACAGAAAAAGTTGCCACTCACTTAACTACCTTGCTTAGAAATATACATCCTTTGCTCAGTTATGATCATAAGTCGAGAGCTACCTGTAATCTGTAGATAAAATATTAAATGGTTCCATTGACTCCTGTACAGGTAGTGGGACTTAGACTAGGGAAAATCAACGCAACCTCTTCCATATCAGAGTGGTTTAACTTGTAACAGACACAAAGTCATCTTGCTCATTAAAAAATAAATACCAGTCTCCGTAGTGCTAAATGTCCATTTTTAAAAAAATAAATGTGAATTTAGATATTAACAGGCTTTTGCCTAATTTAAGCAGTAGCTATCCATTATTCTTACTACCCATTTTATTTACCCAGTAAATGAAACATTAGCTCATTCTACATATCAGTCCTCATTAGGTCTTGTATAATTGAGCCTAGTGACTCTCTATGGAGTATTTTGTTGCTGTTGGTACAAAATGCAAAATTATTGGGCTGATTGTGCCCTGACCTGTTCAAGTTACCCACCCAGCCACTCATCCATTTGTCCCATTATCATTTTTGGCAATCGGATAAAAGCTGTATGACACGTGGCATCATTGTGTTTTGGCATTTTCCTGAAAAGCCTGGGTAAGACTCCATCTCCCTTTCTACATAATGCAGTTTTGAGGAGCTGGAAGAAAGTTAATTGCTTGCAGGATCATTGACAGCCTCTGTGTCTGACTATTGAGCTACTGGAATACTGTCAGCCTTATGATGGCAAGCTCGTCTAAAAGTGAATTAGTTTAACTGAATCCTTAATTTCTTTATAAGCTAATGTCTGAAACAGAAGGACATTTAGCCAATTTTTTGACAGCTGGCCTTTTCTGGCATAAATTCATGCTGTTCTGCTGCCTGGGCTGTGCACAACCAAGACAATGTAGTTTATATCTTGTTCTAGATATCTGATTCAGTAGCGTTTACATTCTAATAGGTCCTTTCTTGCCATTGATTCCAATAGCTTTGTGAAAAATTGACCCTGTGCTACACTCCATACATGGAATAAGTAGCAGTGCCTGGATGACACTAGATCCATAAATTCTTGCTGGTTTACATAATTTTATATATAATGAACTACTAAATGAAATATTGTTTTGTTTATCAGAGGAGTAATCCATTTTATTCTAAGTCTCTTTAACTATTCAGAATGGGTGCTGAGTCAGAAACAAATTTTCTTCCTCTTCTTCCTCTTTCTCCTCTTTCTCTCCCCTCTCCTCCTCCTTTTCCATAATCCCTTGCGGGGTAGAGTCTGGGCAACTGAATGGAGCTGGCAGAATATTTTAATGGCCGGATGCCCTTCCTGTTGCCAATACGAGGGTTTATTCAGCAGATATATTCTTATTGTGCCCAGAGAGAGAAATATCTGCCTCTACCTAGGATTAAACTCACAGCTTCATGATTGTGAGGTGAGAGCTCCACCTCTAGACTATTCTACTATACCACTCCCTGATCCAGAAACAAATGGGGAGTAGAAACAGGCTGCAAGAAACTGATTAACAAATGGGTGGAAAAAAATTGCCTTCTCTCAATGTTTATACCTGTGGGATTCCTTTGCCTTTGCTTGCAGAGTGCAAGTATACAATCATAACTTAGCTATTCAGGTGCAACGCAAACTGATAACATGTCCTACCTACAGGTCTGAGTTGAAAGGGGCACTTGGACTTTCTGAGATTCGGGCATCATCAAAGGCGGGACAAACCTGATTAGCCCACTCCAAAGGATGGAGCCATTTGCAATGAGCTAATCTGGTCAACAGTAGGATGCAAACACCAGTGAAATGGGACTGCCAGAAGAAGCGTTCTAGGTATAGACTCCTGCTTGCACTTCAGAATGCAAAGTATCCCCTACAGAGACCAAAATGAGAGCTTTCACTTGACTTTTGTGATCCTGATTCGATTGCCTAGATAGAACAATGTTTCTCAACTTTGGCAACGTTTAACTCCCAGAGTTCTTGAAGTCCGTGTGCCTTCCAGTTGCTAAGGTCGAGAAATGTTGGCCTAGAACAAGGGTGTCAAACTCAATTTCACTGAGGGCCACATCAGGGCTGTGATTGACCTTCAGGGGCCAGGCAGGCATGGCCGACTGAGTGGATATGGCCAGCATGACGTCACTTCCCAAACTGCTGTCATGTTTCCTCTTTGCACTGGGTAGATTGGGCCGAAGCCATTCTGGCCTGATCTTGCCTCTTCGCACTGGGTAGACCGGGATGGTTCTGTTCATACTGAATTTCCACACAGCTTTGCATTTCTTCCTTGTAAAAAGCTCTTTAGGTTAAGATTCTAGTAAAAGAATGGCCATTCTTATTTCAATATTTACTGATGGTCTTACCACTCCCTATTTTCTCCCTTTTTATTTACAATGGTATAGTAGTAAGTGTTATACTGAAACTGTAAGTACTCAGTATATATATCACAAAACATAGAGAGGAGTTCCATCCTATCTATAGAAATATAGATAGGTCCTCACTTACTGATTACAGTGGAGACTGGCAGCTTCATTGCTAAATGATGTCATAAAGTGTGACACCATATTATGGCACTGGCATAATTCTGGCTACAATTGTCAGGTGTGAAGGATGCTGTGGCAACTGCAATTTTTGACAATAGGATGTAAATGTCATTGTTCAGTGAAGGTGTATCTTTGAATGGTTGCTGAATGAGTGGTCAGTAAGTGAGGACTGCCTGTATCACTATAATACTTAATTGAAATAGTAGATTAATAATTTCCATGGAAAAGATGCCTTCGGCAGAAAAAGAGCTAGTCACAATAAATAAAAATAAAGAGTTTTTGAAAGAAGTTATCTGAATGCAAATTACACAGCTTGTCAGTAGATTTGGCTTCATTTTAATAATTACATTGTTTTCTGCAGTGATTTTTTTTTAGGTTACTATCACATGCTGACATTACCCAGATTATTTTTCAGTATTTATTTAATATATTTGCTTTCCATCTGTGTCGTGAATGCTTAGATTATCATTGATACATATTGGATATAAATTACCAGAATGAAGCGCTGTTTAACTTCTAACATCAAATGATTACAATGGAAAAATTAATAGCAAAGATGGTTGTGTGTTTTTTTTTTCTTGAACCATTAAAAACAAGTTAACTTATGGGCTTTCTGGAGACCGTTCACCAAAGGAGCAATAGGGTTTGCTATTAAATCTTTATTAAAAAAAACTTAGTGCCAGTTCCATGGATAAAAGCAATATAATTGGAAATAAGAAACCAAAGGTGGTAAAAATGATCATCCTTAAACTCTTTGCCATGTATTTGGGCCAGCACAAATATTAAACATCTGTACTACAGCAAAAAGATATGAAAATCCATATGCATTTGTATAGCTTCAGCCAAAGCCAGTATGAGCTCTGCAATTTTTGAATGAACTTGTCATTGTTATTTGCAAGCTGGAAATCAATTTTCTGTAAACTTGACCAGTGCTCTTATCCTTTCAGCAACTCTGGAAGAAATCTATCTCTTACAGAGCGGGTTATGGGGCAACGAAAGAGGTACATACTTATATCTCTCCCATTGCAATCACTGTCACTATTCTTAGGATTGTGGTTATTATGCAGAGCTTCTGTGCATTTTCTCATGATATCATTTTTTTATATATATATATTTGCTCAGTTTCATGTAGTGTGAAAAGGTCTTTTGGGTAAATATGGCATGGATATTACAGGAGGGGAAAAGACAGCAGGAAGTCACTTCAGAAAAGAGAATAATATTAGGTGGGGAGGAAATCCTGCAAAGAGGCACCTAAGATATATGCGGAATTGACCAATTTGGTCTAATATAAATATCACAGAGAAGCGTAACAAATTGTGTAAATGTATACTTGCATGAGTGGGAGGAGAAGAGCTGATATTTCCCTCTTAAGAATTTGGGGAATACCTCTTTGGCCTGAGAAGCAGGGCAAAGAGTTTGGGTTAGGTTTAGAGCTGATGGAACAATTAGAGTTTGAGCCACAGTGGGCATCTTAAGTTGTCATTAGCATATTAGCTTCTCCTTGGAAGATATTATTATTTATAATAGTCATTTTACTAATCCCATAACCTACTCAGAACAATATTGTATAAACATTAAGTACTTGGGAAGAAAATATTGCCAGGAGGATAGTGTTGCTTTTAGATAGCAATATGTATTTTATGATATAAAAATCATCGAAGCTATGTTAATCCAATAGGGATTAACATAGGGGGCACGGATATCATACTTTTATTAGGAAGTGGCTGACTGTCATTTATGAGCAAATTTACAAAATTCATCTTTTTCTGAAATATGTCTTCCGCTATTAATTATTTTTTTTTTCATACATGAATTATTTTTGGTTGTGTTGTGTTGTGTTTTCCACTGCTGCTGGGATGCATGAAAGCCCAATGCGGGTGATTAACATTGGGTGGATGGGTGGGTGTTCTAATGCATGCAAGTTGCAATTTGCTAAAGCCAACAAGGGAAACCTCATGAGCAGTTCCTACCAGACTATTGGCTTGGTTTGATTGTTTTTATCTGTTGTTCTAAATTTGGACACAAATTCGGAGCACACATTCCCAGTGAATAAATCATCCGTCAACTTAAGTTGGTGATCGTGGCAATCTTCCTTAGAAGATCTTCCTTCCTACTCCAGATAGTTAACTCCCAATTCCTTATCAGTTTCAGTCAGCGGGTTCAACAGGTATGCTTGTTAGGAATAATGCGAGCTACAATACAGCACATCTGGTGCACAAGCCTACCGTCATGCTTGCACTAGCATGTGTAATAACTTGCCCGTGAATGCTTCTTGATGGAATAAGACATTGGTTTGGCTTCTGCTGTAGGAGATTCCTCGATGGCGGTTCTTTCCATTGTTGCCTGGAAGACTTAGATATGTCCGTAGTATTGAGTATCTTCAACCTTCTTTGCACCTGAAAATTAGTCATTTTGCCTCCCAACATAAGCCCTGCCATGTGTTGGAGAGGTACAGGTAGTCCTCGGTTTACAATTCATTTAGCGACAGTTCAAAGCTACAACAGCATTGAAAAATGTGACTTATGACCATTTTTCAGATTTATGACCACTGTAGTATCCCCATGGTCACATGAACAAAATTCAGATGCTTGGCAACTGGCATGTATTTATTACGGTTGCAGTGTCCCAGGGTCATGTGATTACCGTTTGCAATCTTCTGACAAGCTGAGTCAATGTGGAAACCAGATTCACTTAACAAAGGTGTTACTAATTTAACAAGTGCAGTGATTCACTTAACAGCTGTGGCAAGAAAGTCCATAAATTCACTTAACAAATGTTTCACTTAGCAACATAAATTTTCGGCTCAGTTGTGGTCATCATAAGTCAAGGTCAACCTGTATAGGTGGGAAGATTATAATTGATAAGTTACAACTTTATGAAGGAAGGAAGGATTTTGTGGATTTGTTCTTAGGAAAACAGAAATGACAGGGTTTTCCTGTGTTCCTAATAGTTTATTAAAGTAATGCCACAATAGCTTAGTTCCATAAGTATGCCAGAAAACATACTTTGGTTTGATGCAATCTGTGAATATGGACCCTACCAAGAAGAGCTAAGTTTCCATTGCTTGATAGAGGTTACAGTCTGTATTCAACTGTAGTAATTATTACAGTTATTATGCTTAGTAGCATAGTATCACGATCCCTCAAGACTTTCTCTCTGTGTAATGGCACTCCTGGAGATAGGGAGCATGTGTTATACTCTGAGCAACTCCACACTACATTTCTGAAACATAACAACTGCATCAGCACACTAAAATAAATTCCAAGAGAAGTGTGACCCTTGGGTAGGCTTACACATTACCCTGGATGAAAGGGTATCCTCTTTCTCTTTCTGCATGAGATTGTAGGCAAGTAATGGATCTGAAGTCTAGAAATTAAGTGCCAATCAAAACTTAATTTGCAATTGGACTCTGGTGATGGCACTGCGATATAAATTTGTCTGCATGAATTTACGATAAAATGTGTCTGCAGGGTCCATTCATGTAGGTTATTTACAATCTCAACAGCCATATTCGGTCGGAAAAAAATAGCAGAAAGGCTGTTTAATGCCATGATTTTCTTGGTGGTAGGGATTGGAATGGCACCGGTGATTGTTTTTCACTTCCCCAATTAATTGCACTCAATGGGTGATGCAGTGGATGCTAAAGTCATCCTGACTAGCCTTATGTTAAACACTCTGTCTCGCCTGCAGTTTTAATACGGTCTGACTGACATCTTTTGGATCTAAGTATTCCAGTTGAGGTCAAGAGGCTCCACAATCTGTTAATGTTAAAAGATTTGGTACATGATGAGTCTGAATTCTAGAACTGTAGCAATTACAGCATTATGCAAGAAAAAGTTGGTGAAGTCTTATACCTGTTGCCTTCAGGTATCGTGAGTGATTTTAATAACCTTTCTCTTAGAATCGTAACCTGTGAAAAGTTTTATTGAAGGTCAGATGAGATAGAAAAACAAGCATATTTTTCCTAGAAAGTTTACTTTCAAAAATGTTTTTGAAGAATGAATTAAAATAGCCAATTTATTAAGCTTTAAATTTACTACAATAACATGCAAATTTATAAAGCATTGAAATTTAATATTTTTCAGATATTTTATTTTTTAAGTTAGTAAATATTCAATTTTCTTATTAAGTTATAATGGTGTAACAGTATATTGTCATAATACATAGTTAATTATTTAATAGTTCATTATTACGTTTTATTTCTGAAGAGAGGACATTCTTCTGCATTTTCTGCCTCAAGTGCCAAAACAACCCAGTGCTTGGAAGAATAGTAAAAGTGGCCACTTGCCTGATGATGCAAAATATCATGGCTCAATCCCAAAATAAAAAATAATTATTTCTTATGTGTCCTTTGAACATTGTACATTTCTTTAAGTCATTACATCAAGAGGATAGTGTTCTGGTCTTAGATTTGGAATGAGAAAATATATTTTCACCAAATAAAATTGATCTCTTTAATCCTTAAATCAATATAAGGACATGCTCTGACAGGCTAGGTATTTTTTTTTAAAAATGAATATGTGACCCAAACTATCCAGAGCTGCTTCAAGAAAATCAAAAGCCAATGAGCTATATTAATTCGGGAACTAACATTGCAGTTTTTCATTGCTTTATTTTGATTTTGATTAAGAAAAGAAGAGATTATATATCCCGTCTGAACTGTAGCATTAACCCTAACTAGTGAGAATTATAATGACAAATGGAAGACATGGGGTAGCCACAGTAAGGGGTTTAAAAAAGTCAAGATGGCTACAACCCTGTGATCAAAATCCCATACTTTTTAAAAGTTTGTTGTACACAGGTAAAAAGGGGGTAGGACTTCACTTGCATATTGGACTTTCTACCTTGCCTTTTTTTTAAAACTCCCTTGTGACACCTCTGACATAAATATATAACCTTAGGTAGATAGAAAGAGATAACAGTTCATGGTGAATTGGCAAAAATACACAATGGTGCCAACAGAGCATATTGTTCCAAATTTCTCCTTTGTTTGTTTGTTTTTTAAAAAGGGCTCCAATAGAAACAGCTAAAGACAAACATAATAAACTATCTTTATTTGCAAAAAGCTGAAAGATCAGATGTTCACAACAATATAAGCACATTTTTGACCCATTTTTCCCCCCCCGTTAGTTTCAATAGAAAGTCTTTTCCCCCAAAGACAAAATGAGGGAAAGAGGCTAATTAACTGAGTGCAAAGTGGAGGAAAGAGTGCTGAGCGTTACACAAAAACCCTATTTTGCACCCACGGTTGTCTGCCCAGCCAAAGACAACAAAGAGTTGCGAACTGTACAATGGACCAAGTTTCTGGATGTAGGAAGGAGGGGAGGGAGCAAGCATCCTGATGCATCAAATTGCTTTTCTCACAACAGTATCCAGGAAGACAAAAAACAAAGAGAAAGGGAAAGAAAGGTGAACGACTGGTTGTTTTTTCATGCAATCCTCGTCCAGTCTGTTTCTGACACCAAGCTGTGGGGTTTGATGCCTTTCAGCTGATCAGAGAAACAAATAATAAAGACATCCAGATGTTTATTATTGTTGTTGTTGCCATTTCCTTTGAGCGTATTAGGATATTTGGGGCATTGGACTGAAAATAAAGGAACTGTATATTATCTTAATGCACAATCTTAATAGGGAACATAGACAGAGGCAGCAGGATGTAATTTTACAAAGGGAGAGAAAAGAGGCCCCCCCCCCCCAAATAAACTGCCTCCCCTCAAAGCATCACAGCTGTTGTTTTCAACTATTTGAAACCACATTCCATTTCTTTAGAAATAATCCTAGCATGGTTATCCAAATCTCAGATCTTGACCAGGTTATTTGGAAAGATTTTCATTTAAGTGGGTTCATGTCCCGTTCCAGTTTTGGATGGTCCCCAAAAGTTTAGCCCCCTCCCCCCCAATCCATTTCTGTGTGCCATGAAAGACATGTGGCCTCTGTATCAGATGCTAAAAGTGAACGACCAAAAGAAAGTTGAACATTAAAATAAAATTGTCAAAATGGA